GGGAAGCTGATGCTCACGATGCTCGCCCGCTTGGCTTTGAATGCTGAGGGCCGGGGCGGCTGATGCTCATGATGCTCGCCTGCTTCCGCTTGGCTTTGAATGCTGAGGGCCGGGGCGGCTGATGCTCATGATGCTCGAATGCTGAGGGCCGGGGCGGCTGATGCTCATGATGCTCGCTCGCTTGGCTTTGAATGCTGAGGGTCGGGGCGGCTGATGCTCATGATGCTCGCCCGCTTGGCTTTGAATGCTGAGGGCCGGGGCGGCTGATGCTCATGATGCTCGCCCGCTTGGCTTTGGATGCTGAGGGCCGGGGCGGCTGATGCTCATGATGCTCGCCCGCTTGGCTTTGAATGCTGAGGGCCGGGGCGGCTGATGCTCATGATGCTCGCTCGCTTGGCTTTGAATGCTGAGGGTCGGGGCGGCTGATGCTCGCGTGGCTTTGAATACCGAGGGCCGGGGCGGCTGATGCTCATGATGCTCGCCTGCTTCCGCTTGGCTTTGAATGCTGAGGGCCGGGGCGGCTGATGCTCACGATGCTCGAATGCTGAGGGCCGGGGCGGCTGATGCTCATGATGCTCGCCCGCTTCCGCTTGGCTTTGAATGCTGAGGGCCGGGGCGGCTGATGCTCATGATGCTCGCCCGCTTGGCTTTGAATGCTGAGGGCCGGGGCGGCTGATGCTCATGATGCTCGCCCGCTTGGCTTTGAATGCTGAGGGCCGGGGCGGCTGATGCTCATGATGCTCGCCCGCTTCCGCTTGGCTTTGAATGCTGAGGGCCGGGGCGGCTGATGCTCATGATGCTCTCCCGCTTGGCTTTGAATGCTGAGGGCCGGGGCGGCTGATGCTCATGATGCTCGCCCGCTTGGCTTTGAATGCTGAGGGCCGGGGCGGCTGATGCTCATGATGCTCGCCCGCTTGGCTTTGAATGCTGAAGGCCGGGAAGGCTGATGCTCATGATGCTCGCCCGCTTTCGCTTGGCTTTGAGTGCTGAGGGCCGGGAAGGCTGATGCTCATGATGCTCGCCCGCTTGGCTTTGAGTACTGAGGGCCGGGGCGGCTGATGCTCATGATGCTCGCCTACTTGGCTCTGAATACTGAGGGCCGGGGCGGCTGATGCCCATGATGCTCGCCTGCTTCCGCTTGGCTTTGAATGCTGAGGGCCGGGGCGGCTGATGCTCATGATGCTCGCCCGCTTGGCTTTGAAGGGCCGGGGCGGCTGATGCCCATCATGATGCTCGCCTGCTTCCGCTTGGCTTTGAATGCTGAGGGCCGGGGCGGCTGATGCCCATCATGATGCTCGCCTGCTTCCGCTTGGCTTTGAATGCTGAGGGCCGGGGCGGCTGATGCTCATGATGCTCGCCCGCCTGGCTTTGAATGCTGAGGGCCGGGGAGGCTGATGCTCATGATGCTCGTCCGCCTGACTTTGAATGCTGCGGGCCGGGGCGGCTGATGCTCATGATGCTCGCCCGCTTGGCTTTGAATGCTGAGGGCCGGGGCGGCTGATGCTCATGATGCTCGCCCACTTGGCTCTGAATACTGAGGGCCGGGGCGGCTGATGCCCATCATGATGCTCGCCTGCTTCCGCTTGGCTTTGAATGCTGAGGGCCGGGGCGGCTGATGCTCATGATGCTCGCCCGCCTGGCTTTGAATGCTGAGGGCCGGGAAGGCTGATGCTCATGATGCTCGCGCGCTTGGCTTTGAATGCTGAGGGCCGGGAAGGCTTGGCTTTGAATGCTGAGGGCCTGGCCGGCTGATGCTCATGATGCTCGCCCACTTGGCTTGCGACACATGTAGGCCTTCCTCAAGCGGGTGGGTAAGCTACTACAGCTTTGTCGAATAGCATGCTCGATCGGAGGAAACAGTTGGGGAGGGGAAACTTCCCGACTCAAAGTCCATCTTCGGTAACAGAAAGCATCAACAGCATCTTGGTCTCACGCGGATTTTGAGGGTTGGATGCGGGTTCAGGGTCTGCGCCGGAAGGTGGGCCCTGAAGATTTTTGAGTCAAAGCCCTGCAGAACCGGACTTGCGACCAAGCCACTGCCTTGACCCTCGCGGCGGAGCATGGCGACTTGGCTGAGTTATGCTGAGTTTGTACATGCGCGTCCTCTTCCATGCCACCAGTCAGGGAGAAGTGGCAACATTAGTTTCTGTCAGGCGCACAACATGTTGGCTATTTGGCCAATCTACGCCTTCAACGATTTGACGTCCAAGCCTGGAACTTTCTTGAAGTTGAATGCCATCTTAAAACCCAAACACTTCGTCTTTCGAACCTATCGAAAGCCTTGAGCTCCGACTCCCCGACCCACAAACGAGGCTTTGCAGACGTCGCGAAGATCCTTCTCCAGGCCAGGTCCGGCACTTTACCGGGGTTTAGGGTTTAGGGTTTAGGGTTTGGGGTTTAATCTGGGGTGCCGGGGGGTGGGAGGGCTCATGGACAAACCACTTGTGGTGCTTCGCAAACACCTGCCAAACCCAGGTGACCCCAAGCCTTTAGAAAGGCCTTGTAGCACCTGTAAACACCTCAAACCCTTAAAGCCCATGCCCCCCCTTCCTTGACTCCTGAGCTCCCCAATGCACGCCTTTCAACCCTTGCCCATGTACAATTTTGAGGCAGCGCAAATCAGAACTGCTGAAACGCAGTAGCTTCACCCGGTGGGAGGCTGGCGCCCAAGCGAACTTTCGCCGTGTAGACGGTGTTGCGCCGCTACACTTGGCTGCAGGTGCAGGGAATCTTGGGAGGATGGGGATTTGTGAACTTGGAACCAGCCCCGCAGTATACATGGCGTCTTTTACGAGCCTTCCTTGGTACTCTCCACCCTTATCTCTCTAAACCACCACAAGGGCCTCAAGTCCGAAGCCCAAAGCCAAGAACCCAAAGGCATCGGCAATGCTGCACTCTGCAGGGCACTCCTGCAGGCAGCGAAAGAAAGTGGAGTGCTGGTTGTCCAGAGGAAGGGATGAAGTGGGTTGCAGAGTTTCCCGGTTCGGCCTCCATGCATGCAAAGGATGCCAGTTGTGGGTAGCTGGGTTCGTTGTAACTTGTGTTTTTTTCTCGTCCCGGTTTGGTGCTGGCTTGTAACAGTTTGTGTCTCAGGGCCTCAAGCGAACCCCTAAACGGAGCTGTTGGGTGGCAAGCCCAAACCCATGAGAGGAGATCTTGGGTAGCAAGCCCTAACCCCCCGAAGGAAACCCGAACAAAAACTGAACGGAAATGTGGCAATCCCGGCCCGTCCTGCCTGCCATGACGTTGGCAAGCCTTAAGCAATGCAGAGGTTTTGCATATGGTTCGCGTCGGTTTCGCGCATAGCTTCGATTGTGGACATCGTGCTGCGTAAGCTAGAGCCCTGCGTGCGCGGGCTTGTGCCGCACAAGTTTGTGCATGCAGGCTTTCTGTTCGCGGGCACCCGCACTCAAAGATTCTTCTTCACAGCTCTACAGCATAAACCCAAAACTCTCCCTCAACAACATCCGCTTTTGTGGATCTCCTTGCGCAAGGCCGGGACAGCACTGTGAACGTTGACACGTTTTCCGTCGATCTCTGTAGCTTTTCGGGGCTTGCTTTAGGAGAATTTCGGGCTTTAGGCACCTATTGTAAGTTTAGTGTTTAATGTTTAGGGTTTTACTTTGCTGGCACTTCGGATCACAAGAACACACGCTAACCGCAGGCCAAGGCGAACTGCAGCATTCAAGTGGACGATGGCCCCCTGGCTGTTCAAGATATTGCAGGATTTAGGATTTAGGGTTTAGGGTTTAGGGTTTAGGATGTAGGGTTTATAGCAAACATGTCGATGTGCCCGAGGTGTAGGTACTTGTAGGATTGTCACAGTCCCTTAGCAGCTCCAGATGTGTTTGAGTTCTTGCATTGCAATTCAGCGGCACTCGCTCCCACATCTCCCACCTAGTCGCCCGAACCATTTTTGCGGACCCGTTGCCCAAGCTTGGTTGAATTGCCAAGTGCCGGCGTTTCGCCCTTAACCAGCTAATGCGGGGCACGAAATCCTAAACCCTAAACCCTAAGGGGGACACGGGATTGGGCTTGATGCGAAAGACTGGTCCAGGCATTCGCCGGTCTTCACACTACACCAAAGTGGGCGGAGAGACGCCATTGCACTTCGCAGCCGAAGGCCACAGGGGTTTAGGGTTTAGGGTTCAGGGTTCAGGGTCTAGGGTTTAGGGTTTGGGGTTTGGGGTCTGAGGTTTGAGGTTTGAGGTTTAGGGGGAGTCTACAAGTGGAGGTTGACAACCTTGGTGTGTTGGGAGCGGCTTTTAAAGTCCCTGAGCTATCTGTACTATCATGTCTTCCTCGAGATTCTGTAAGCCCCAATCTGGTTGGTGTCCTCTAAAGTCCCTTACAAGGATGTTTAGGTGGGGGTGGGCAATTGGTGTTTAGGAGGATGTTCACAGTTTAACATTCAAAGTCTGGAAATGGCCGAGCTTCGGGCCAGGTGGCTATGAGGAGGCTGTGGCGGTCCTTCTAGAGGCCCAAGCAGAGCTTGACAGGCAGCCAGCAGGGGATGTCTTTTCAAGGGCGTTCAGGAGTTGAGCGGTTGGGGTTGGGATGTTCCCCCTCAGACTATCAGTCCTTGAAAGGGATTCGACTAGGGGGTACGGACTCTTAGTAAAAATTTGGTCGTTTGAGTGGCGGGATCGCGGGCTGCGGCCCATTTTCGCTGCGTCTTAAGCCCGGGGCATCCTGGGTTTGGTTTAGCCGTATGATTTTGGGTTGTTTTGTGCGCTTTCGGAAAAAGGGGCATATGAACTTGTGCTGGTGCTTTGTGCTTGCATACGTCAGGATAGTGGCAATGAGCCTCCCAAAGTCTGTTCTCAGAGCCCACTCCACTCCACCATCCGTAAACCCGAACTCCCCTGGCCAATCTTTAGACCATGACCCGAATGCTGTTTCTAGGTGCGAACGTTGCTGAGCATATGCCAGCAGAAATGCTTTCGCTTTGCTGCCTGGCCTCCCTCAGGCCAAGCACCGACGGTCGTACACCGCTCCACATGGCCGCCGCATGCTCAAGACGACGAGGGGCATGGTAAAGTCTAAACCCTAAAAACCCTGAGCCCTGGGCCCAACGAGTTTACAGCCGCTACAAAGGGCAAAGAGTCTCGTTCCCAGAAGTGGCCTTTGATTTCGGGCCTCGGCTTAGCTGTGAGGAACTCAGGGTCCAAGGAACCCTAAACCCTAAACCCTAAACCCTAAACCCTGCACCCTAAGAAAGTTAGGCACCTAAGCCTTAAAGTCTCAGATGGCAGGGTTTGAAAAGTGTGGTTCGCTGTCAGTAGCGATGGTGCCAGTCCGGCGAACTTGTATACGCCCGCATCTCTCACGAGTCATTCGTCCTGGTTCATGTTTCATGAGTGCACGATAGGCCCTGGTTGGTTCCGGCGGATCCTTTCACAAGATAAGCTGAAACAGTAAACTCAGAACTGGGCAGTCGATCTGCTGCAAATGGCCTTACCTGGCACACTTCTCCTTGCCACATGTCCTCATTTATCATGACGAAGATGCTTCGGTACTACCCTCATCCATCCACGCGATCGATGTCAAGACCTGTTGCGGGTCAAAGCCACCGATCGGCATCTTGTGCGCATGATTACCTTTGCCGTGGTTCGGGGGGATGTTTAATGTGATGATCGCGGCGGCCGTGTCCCGGCTTACCTCAGGAAGCAGTAGCCCCATTTCGAGCCAAGTACCGCTGGCTGCAGTCTTAGTTCATCCCTGGTCCCTCGACGAAGATGGCCTGTGTCGAGCCTCCGTCACTGGTCCAATCCCCAGAAGCCTAACTTATGGCCCGCTAGCGTCTAGATTGAGGAAACCAGCGAGGTTAGCTTGAACAATCTTGAACATCAATCGTTGGTCCCAATGCCCGCAGAGTCTACACTCAACATTGGTTTCGAGGTGTGGATCCTGTGGATCTTCAGAACACCTGCATGCCGTTAGCATCCACCAGACCCGCCAGCTATGCGCACTCAACAAGTTGCTTTCAATCGGGTTTCCGCGAGAAGGTCACGCCCCGCGATAGGCCACCAGCCGCCGGTCCTTTTGCAGCCCCTGACAACTCTTGGGCTTTGGACCGCTTTTTCCATGTCAGCAGCTGCTCCCAGAGTGTCGATGCCTCCTCATGCGGTACCAAGCTGGCCTCCCTCTGACCTCTGCATGACGCGCGAGCTCATGGGGCGAAGAGGCACTGCTATGCGGTGCTGCGTGCGCTTTCTGATCCGCTCCAAACTGCCGGTCACGTGAAGGTCCCGAGGGTGCAGTGCATGAAAGCACAAAGTTCGGGCTAACGCAGGGTGTAGCACAGTTTGCGTTTGATTGCTAAGGGTCATTGCCTGTTCAGCGGCATGCTGAAGATGAGTTTTTCATTATCGAGGACATGATGGCTTGCGAAGCTAGTGACAGGGTGAAGTAGACAACATCCAAGCCAACATCCGATGTATCGTCTCCCTCACGTACATCACACGTAGGATTGTTTGAGATCTTCAGTGACGAAGACGTTGGTTTTCAGAAACGCCGGCACCAGGATCGAGAATATCAACTCCATTCCCTTCTTTGTTAAGGATCGAGTTGTATACTTGTGACGACCTATCAATGGTGCGTCCGCCTTGGAGGGATTCCGAGGGCGTACGGACACTTCCTACTAAAAAGGTTTTCAGCTTTCCAAATCAGAATTTCGTCTCGACGAACGCCAGTGTTCACAAAGGCCTACACAGGCTACGCGACAGTCTGTCACCAATTGCTGGAGGCTGGAGTATTGCGCCGCATTAGAGTTGGATGGGTTTAGAGTTCGGGGTCAGTTCGGCACATGTGGCATGCGGCTTTTTGAGTTTTGCAGCCATTGGAGGGTGATGCCGCGTCTTGCCTAACCCTCGTAAGCAGCAGCATGAGGCACTTTAGGGCTCAGTAACTGAGCACCCAGCGGATCTGTTCAGCGCATCGAACTAACGCAACAGGGGGCTGCACTGCATGTTTGGTAGTATGGCTGTTCGGGCTTGATCCATTAGTTCGATCGGGAGTGACCGGAGTGAGTATAAGAAGTACTTGCGCATTTCGATGGCGAGTGGGTGTAAGAAGTGCTTGCGCATGTCAGTACAGAAGACATGTCAGGTCGGAGACTATCTTGAGTTGGATCTTGCCACAGAGCGCTTGAGCTCACACAACATAGTGTTTAGCAGCCTCCCTGCTTGTACAACTTTTCCTTACAGCTGCGGGGATAAGTGAGCGAGCGGTCACTCAGCATAAGTAGCTACAAGGTGTTGGTATACGAGGATGGACAACAGAAGAGGCAAGCCCGTTGGATTTCTAAGTATAAGCTTCACCCCTCAGGATCGAGTCTTGCTGTAAACTTTACGCTTGCTCTTGAAACCGGCTGGTTTCGGAAGCCGGAAATCTGGGGAGCAATCTGGACTCAAATTTGAACAGTCTCCGCAAAACGTGGGGTGCTTTTTCAGACCTGCCAAGCAAAACCCCCCACGGCCCCTTGGTGTGAGGCGCGCGCTCCGCCGGACATCACCATGCCCATGGGGCGGCTGGGCAGTCACTTCTTGAGGGTGAGAGGTTTCAGGTTCAGGTCTTTGTGGTCTTTCGTGGTTGTGGGAGGATTGAGTCAGCATTTTGGAGTTACAGTTGCGCTTTGCATGTTGCATGTTTTCTTCGCAATGGAAGTCCAAAGTGTTAGCAGGTGTTGCTTTTGAGGATTCAAGGCTAGGGCTTCCAGGGGCAGAGCTGAGAGTTTTGTCATTTATGGTTTCGATTGAAAGCTTCTGTCAGCTCTTGATCCACTCACCTCAGGTGGACGCCGCTGCACCTGGCCGCTCATCACGGCTTCGGCGAGGCCGAACGTTTCCGACATGTTGGAGGGCGCTATCAACTTTTCATGTGGCAGTTTGGGATAGTTTGGGTATAGGATTATAGGATGCTTTTTTCGATTTCAGTCGTAGGCATGGAGGTTTACATGCGAAGGCCCAAAACGGGGTTGGGAAACGCAGAGATTACCGTGCTGCATGCCTTTGTTTGTGTTCGGTGGACAATCGACCAGATCCGAGTTCGTGAAGCTGTCATGCATCTCCAACCCCATATATCCTCCATATCCTCCATAAGTCGCTCAGCCAGCGCTTCAGAAATCGGCCCGAAGCTCGATGTGGCAGACTCGACTTGTCGCCATACCGAGCTTGCCTAGCAAGTCGTTGATGCGTGATGTTAGAGCACAAGCTTTAATAAATACCAGCTATCCCATTGATCATTGCTGCTCTCTTGTAGAACAGTTCAGTACAGTAAGGCTGCCACTCTGCACACATCAGCGAACGTGATCGAGCAATGTTATGGAGTGTGAAACTACCCAGATAGTTGGAAACCACTGACTGAGGTGATCGATGTGCTTCTTGCTGGAGGCAAGGCATGTCTTTGATTGGGGCCCTAGTCGCCGAGGATTTTGGATAGGCATCGTCTGGTTGCAAGCTTTAGCTCATGCTTTTAAACCAAAGCCCTGAGAAGCCCAAAGTCGAAAAACAGCAGAGGTGCTAGCGTGGATGCTTCCACTGATGACAAATGGACTCCGCTCTTCATGGAGCCCTGGCAGAAATCACCGTTGCGTCAGGAAGGTAAGCAATTGAGGCTTTGTCTCCGCGCTTGCAGCTGCAATATGACCACAAGCAACCGAAGAGAAGGTGCAGAAAAATGCTCACGGGAGCTACTCTGGGATCCATGGCAACAACTATCGAAAAACACGCATTGTTCAATTGAACATGTTTGTCCAAAACATGGAACCATTCTCCAAGAGGTGCATTCGGATGCAGTGGGCGAAGGCCAAACGATCATGGAGGACCTACTTGTCTAAGCTTCCAGCTCTCAACCCCAAATGACCCTCACGTCCATGATCCTCCAGCTCCAGATCCCGGAAGCCCTGCAACTTGTACCTCCACACCCTGGGTTGTCATAAATGTTTGGTTTGTCTACCAAGAAACCTGAACTCCCAACCCCTTTTCCCAAGCTCGCTGCCACTTAGGCCGCGAAAGCAAACCAGGAGGCGGACAGTTTGAGGAACATTAGGATTCTTTGTTTTCGGGTCAGGGTCCGTGGGGGTGTCTAAAGTGTCCCCCTTGAATATTCTATCGCAGCAGTCGCGCAGCAACCAACGTTTGCGCAGGCCGTAGTTTTGCAAGCAGAGTTTGATCCCAAACCGAGACGGACCATCAACAGACTTGCGACCCAGGAAGCGGTGGGGTTCTCCTTCGTTGAACATCCAACATGAAGTCTAGAGTTCAGAATTGAGTGGTCGGGGGGTGTGTCAAGAGAAAGATCCCTTGAAATGCTCTTCAAACTCCGAACTTCGGCTTGAGGGATGTAAGGCTTGCTCCGTTCTTCAGGTCAGGAAGTACGTGTGTCACGTTGCTTTTGTACACGATACCTGCTGCATTGGTATGCACAGAAGCTTTGATGTTTCACATGTTCACGTACTCTTGTGAGTTGACCTACGTGAGATCCTTACTATGTGAGCTGTGAGCAGTTGATGCCTGAAGGAATGTTGCCTCTACCGGCGGGCCTGAGGGATCTCGTGCCACTAAGCAGGTAGGCAAAGCATCGAACATCTAAAACCACATACAATATCGAACATAAAGCAAGCACTGGACAAAATTGATCGGCTGTCATTCGCCCCAGTGTGGGGGGACACTGGTTATGGGTCTAGGGACTCCAATTTATTCGTGTCCTCACTGAGCCCGAGAGTTTTGATCGCGCATTAGTGAACTTGTGGCGGTTCCATGGCTGTGGTTCGTGGCTGTGGTAGTTCTTCGCTAGTCTAGATCTAACGCTTAGGCCAATATCTGAGAGTTCGGGGCTCAAGGCAATAGAGGGTCGAGGGTGTCACACTTGATCTCGAGTTGCTAAGGAACCAACAACCCCGGATCGAAGCGATATTTGATGAACAGAATACCGGATGCAGAAGCAACGCAGACGCCCGACAGTCAAAGTCTTCGAGATATTGCCTTACTTTGGATGGTCTATGTCCTGTAAGGGCAACTTTCTTTCAATAAAAGATCCGACAACCTTCCAAAGCTCGCTTCACCCAAACCTTGACATGTCCAGATCCCTGAACCTTGCAACAGGATGCCGCGGATCGCTTGGTCCGGGCCGGCGCCGCTCATCTGCTGGTTGCTGTATTTTAGCTGCTGGCCATGCCCATCACCTTCGATGGACATTGTCATTTTGTTTCAATCTTGCATACTGTACTTTCGAGTGGCTGACGATGTTGCCAGCAGGGCGTTTACCCCACACATGTACGGTTTGGGGTGCCCCCCTCAGCAAAAGAGAAACAAGTGGGCCGCGCTGGCCGGATGTGGGCCGCAGCGACGGAACTTGGGCTCCCCCTGTGAGCTGATGCGGACGTTCCCTAGCAAGAGATGCGCCCTTCACACGGCTAGCGTGTTAAGCAGCGGTTACTTGGAAACACGCGTGTAGTGCATGACCATTCTACTGGCAGAATTCTGCCAGTTCTGCCCTGAGCCAAAAAATCAGTGCAGACCGGCATAAGCCATGGCAAGCTTCTACGATTCCCGAGCTCTAAAGGTTCTTTCCTTACAGGTTTTGGTGTCCTTTTTTCGGGTTTAGGGTTTAGGCTGTAGGGCGTTCGTTCCGCTAGGGTTGATTTACTGTTTAGGGTTCCTGATCGCATTATGTTATATTGCAGGGGCCAACAAGCAGCCGAGGCCCAGCTCTCCACAGCTACGGCCGCTGCTGCCAAGACGACGCTCGGGACCCTCTCACGAACAGTGTCGTGGCTGTCAATCTAAGGCTCAACTAGGGGTTAGGGTTTCGGGTTTAGGGTGTAGGGTTTAGGGTTTAGGGTGTAGGGTTTAGGGTTTAGGAGCTCAACTAGGGTTTTGGGTGTAGGAGGGTTTGAACGGCTAAACGGGTGCT